ACTCGGCGAAAAGCAACTATAAATCTGCTTAACACCGGTTTTCTGTGACTTGGTATCACTCCGGGCGAGGGGGGCCATTGGTGAAGATGCATGGGTCTCCAAGGCCCATTGATTACCATTGGACGGCGACGATGATGATATTTCAGAATAAACAAAATATTTTTAGATAAATACTAGTGTAAGTGATTCTTAATGACAGGAAAAATACAGAACGGAATATTCAAACGTACAGCAAAATTATATCTGCAATTATTAGTTACTAGCACCATATACTCGTAGTAACTAACAATTATAACTAAAGGATAATATATATATATAGGTATATATAATAGTAACTGAAGGATTAAAGGATTTAATTCCAAGGATAAAAGTCCACATAGGCATAGGGCAATAGACGTTTTTCTGCTCCCCTCTATTGTTGGATGGATGTTGTTTACTTTTGACTGATTTTACCGGTTAATAATATTTTCGCCCGGGTTAGAGTTCTGACTGGAGCATACATGTATAACTATCGGGTGCCCGCTACTTCTTTCGCGTGGAATTTGAAAAGCGCTGCCTTAGTGAGTTCGGTTCCCGGACCAGGCAAAATTTTATAGTTTTTCTGAGAGAAAAAGTAGCCTAAATTACTCCTTATATAGACAGCTACTTGGTAGTAAAATATTATCAAAATCGGTCCAGCCGTTTTAAAGATTACCGAACAAACAGACAGACCGACAGAAAGACAAAAAATATTTAAACTGGTTTTTAGGCATAGGTATCGTGCAAATAACCGTGTGAGCATGAAAAAAACCTATTATTTTGACATTACAAACAGACGCTTCAGTTTAATTTATTTGTATGGATGTATAGATAATTGTGGTGACCATACTAAACATGAGATTTTATTGATTTGACATTGGTGTATTGGAGAATTACAACATGGTTAATAGGGTACAATGGTTGGGATTTATAAATCATATTATGACAACTGTGACTGACTTACAAGATCTCTGCTACTTAATTATTATTATTACGCTAGCGCAAGACTCGCTAAAGGTCTTAATCTAAAAAGAGCTCCTTGATAAAAAGAATTTTGATTGATTTTAATGCCATTTATATTTGTCTATGACGAAATCACAATCACATGTGAAATCGATGTGCAACAAATCATTTCATCAAATGAATATGATTTAAAAGTAGCAATAATTTCCATGTCTAGTTGGGATTATATAAGACTACGGGGGCTGTTCTTAAGATACTGTACTACACAGTGGTAGAACAAAAAAATGTAATATATTTTCAAATTTTAAGGAAATGATTTATTTGAATTGAATATAAAATAGCAGAATTGAGGCCCTGAACTTGCTTTTATCCGCGGCTTTGCCCGCGTGTATTTCTGTTAACGCGGTAAAAAGTAGCCTATGTCACTCACTAATAATGTACCTTTCCATTGGTGAAAGAATGTTTAAACTCGGTTTAGTGGTTTAGGCGTGAAAGCGTTAATAAGAAAACATTCTCACTTTCACATCTATAAAAATAAATAAAATTGAAGTGTCTGTTTTAATTTCAAATGTTTACATGGCTCACATGGTTATTTGCACGATACCTATGCCTAAAAACCACTTTAAATATTTTTTGTCTCTGTCTGTTTGTTCCGGGTATGGTTCTTCAAAACGGCTGGACCGATTTTGATATTCTTTTACTACCAAGTAAGGACTAACTTAGGCTATTTTTCCTCTCAGACCAAACCCAATAAAATTTTCGGTCGAGGAATCGAAACTGAGGTCTCATGAACTGCATATCGCTAAGACAGCGCTTTTCAAATTTCACGCAAACCAAGTCGCGGGTCCCAGTTCCTTTATAATATAAAAGAATGGAAGTATGCAAGCTAGATAATACAGAAAAAACAACTTGAACTCTTTTCATAAGGAAATAATATGAAGAAAATAACCATGACTCACAGCACACAAAGTTGTGCCAATTTAATAATTATTGTTGATTCACAAAAGGAGAGTTATACAAAACACAGGTCAGTGATACCAATAGCGTATGAAAAACACTGCGTTGATCATAATTGATTAAAAAAATACAATCAACTCGACCCATCTTTACACCTTTTTTTTCCGTGCGGAAATCCCCTCGGTGGCATGTCGGACACGAACCGACTAAAACCGCACGCCTTCTCGCGTACTAATAGCCGGGGAACCAGGTATACCCTAGAAAGGAAGTCCCTGGTGCCCCGACATACCTCGGGCATTCTACAGACGAGTTGACGACCCCCCGTGTGGGAACCCCATGTTCCCTCTGCTCCCTGGAAGCGAGCGCGCTTCGCAACGCGCTTGCCGCTACCCCGGCCTGCTTCTGCTAGGGTGACAGATGGCCTCACCTGTCACCCCCAGGCCTGCGCTTATGGAGGACGGAGGTCGTTCAGCGACCTCCGGCGCCTGTGTCGCCTGCGGTACCTTGCCCGTTCCCGGGCCTGGCGGGCCGGGAGAGTTCTAAACCTCTCCCGGTCCCCATCTTTACACCTGTAGCAGAACATACATGCCAACATGGCTTAATTATTGTGTACTAATCTTATAAGATAAATGTATATCTATGTAATGCTGTATAGTATCGCTATATTGTCCCCTATTCATAGGGTTAGTGTCGTAAGAATAGACTAAGGGAGAAAACTACGCAGGCAACAACACTGCAACAAGAAGGAAAACTTGACAGCAACCCGTCTGGCACATACATCAGGAGCGGTCAAGATTGGTCATGAATAGGGTCACAGGGAACAGAAAGAGAAAAAGAGGTAGACCATTAAGACGGTGAGTGGATGACATTAAAACCATTGCAGGTTGCACATGCACCAGAGTAGCATCAGAGAACAATAGCGAGAGTTGAAAGCCCTTTGCCAAGTAGTGGCATACGGACAGGGAGTGCAGTAGTGTGGTGCCTCATAAAATATATTTATAATTACTGTAGCTATTCCTATTATATTTCTAAACAAATAAATAAAATTGAATTTTGAAATTTAGAAAATTGAAATAGAAATATCTTGTTGTGAAGAAATATCTATGTTTGTAATGTCAAAATCATAGGTTTTTTCATGTTCACATGGTTATTTGCACGATACCTATGCCTAAAAACCACTTTAAATATTTTTTGTCTGTCTGTTTGTTCCAGATAATCTTCCAAACGGCTGAACCGATTTGATAATATTTTACCACCAGGTAGCTGTCTATATAAGAAGTAAATTAGGCTATTTTTCCTCTCAGAAAAACCCTATAAAATTTTGCCCAGTCCAGAAATTGAACCCACTAAGGCAGCGCATGAACAAAGGCACGGGTACCAGCTAGTCTATAATATAATATCTCGCCAAGGGCTTGTGGCTAAGTGATAACCGAGTATGTAAACACATAGCAAAGTCAAGCAATCCTAGCCAGGTCAGGCTATGGATAGTTGACAATTTCTTAACACATTGAGATTTCTCCAAGCCTCTGAGAGCACATTAAGCCATCGGTCCCAGTCGCCGTACAAACATCTTTAACAATCGTTATCGGTAGTTGAAGCTCCAAAAGCGAGACAACAGTCTCATTACAGAACTTCGATATCGCCTACTACATGGGTTGTGGAGTTCTGATGGCAGTCACTTCCATTTAACCCACAAGTAAAAACTCATATTTTAATCTATTCATTTCTTTTAGAAATGAATTGCTCACAGGCAGAAGGATAAATAGATGAAGAGATCCTTTGGACTTAATCAAATGATGTAATGATTGATTTATATAATAAGTCTCTTAATCATTTAGGTAAATATAAATTAATTATTAAATGGTTCTCTATGACGTAAATTTACATAATTTATCTTTTCCGTATCTCCTTATTAAAAGAAAATTTAGCTCTCAAATCAGCTGTTGACAACTTTTTTTTATCGTTAACGTGGTGGAAGATCCTCAAGGATGTCCTTCGCCCAATGGGAGAGGGCGAAGGGATCTGTCAGACTCTTGACTCAGACCTCTCCTTGCCCAATGTCCCCGAGAAAACAACTTATGCTGATGCGCTATTTGAGTAAAAGTTTTCGCTCTAAATAATTATGTTTAATACATATTTATAAAAACAATAATCTTAGTGTTAACTGCTGCATGAATCATGTTTATTCTCAGTGTTGGTATATAAAATAAAAAATACAAACAAGTCAAGTTGCATTTAAGATTCAGTTCTTGTAAGTAAATACAGCCTTAATTTTATACTATTCTTTTTGCGCATATATTCGTATGACATCAGAAATTAATTTGTAATAATACTTTTATTCATTCAAATATTTCAAATGCTTCTAAACATCGTCATTTATTTACTAACAAAAATTTAAATCATGAAAATTTATTATTGTAGATAAAAATATTAATCGAGATTTTAAGTATCACATAAAATACCTGAATGTAAGTTAACAATTTATTAGTTACGAATATAATAATGCCCTTACCTTTGTGACCGCTGGCTCCATGACTTGGTTGAACATATCAACATACATACTAAAACTTTAAAACATTGCTACCAGAATGTATGAAACCCCAACATTAAATAAATTCTAATAATTTTCGCAAATTTTCGGCATTCGACAATTTCCACGATTCTTCTATTTACTAGAACGACCACAGACAATCTTAGAATTCTATATGACGTATACCATAAAATCTAGATCTAGGTGCAGTCCACTCCATTAATCTCTTTTCTGAGTTCATTATTTTAATAGGATCTGAAAGTACTAAATTAATAACTTACGGATAGTTTAAAAAGAGTAATTAATTCAAAATATTAAGTTTAAAATTAATTATTATACGAGATCAGTTTTACTTTTATGACTTATGCGCAAATTAGGTCCTCCAAAAAAAAAAAATGAGGGTAAGTAGTTATAAATTCGTAAGAACACAATGTCTTTGTAGTTCTTCATTTACAATTCTTAATTAACACTTTCATTGTTACATCGTCGCTATTTTACAATATTCAGAAAGAGTTTCAGTATTGTAGTGATCATGGAGATAGATACAGTAGATAGAGTAAGTTTTAGTACTTAAAAAATCATTTATTGTTGTCAAGTAACCATCTGACATGTGCTTAATTTTTGTTTTAAAGGATGTCAAGAGACATAATAGTTTCACGAGTCCTAACATTAAAAGAGCACCTGTGGCCAAAAGGGTAGGCCGAGAACGTTGTCACAGTTACCATGCTCAGACCCCAAAAGCTTCTAAAAATGTGCAAAACCCTATCAATGTACCTAAGGTAAGAATTAGTATAATAATATTAATTTTTAAATATTTCCAAATTTATTCAATATTTCTAAAAGTAAATGAACTTTTAGCCCGGTCTCTACAATGTGTTTTACGAATGCACCGTTAAAAATTTAATTTGACAGTAATTTGACAACTCTAAGGTGCGTTCAAAAATAACGTGAAAATAGTTTAATTTCAACCCTGAAAAATGCTTCCAAACAAATAAATTAATGTTTTAAAATGCAATTATAAATTCTTACAAAATTAACTTTATATATTAGATAGTTTTCCTATTTGTTTTAAACATTTTAATCAAGATTATCATCACTAAAAGTGGTGGCTGCAGGCATTACCAAATATGGAGTTTGCTCGTTTTCCCAACCGTCCTCCCTTCGATCCTTAGTAGCTCTCAGTTTTATTTTCTTTCAAATAATTGTGTTATATTCAAATGTTTTCTTTGCATTTTTAAGCGTTATAATTATTATTTCTTCTTTTTAATCAAACGTGAGTTAAAGTTTAAAATATTTAAATCGTAGTGTCAAAATATAGGTCAGAGTGGCGTATAGGTTATGTTCAAAGTGAAATAATCGGATAGTTGTTGTTTGTATTGTTGTTAACGGGCCACTTTTCGCGTTACAGATGTCGTTTAGGGTGGTGCGCAGTTCTAAATTTCGCCACGTTTATGGGCAGGCCCTAAAACGTGAGCAATGTTATGATAATATACGAGTGTCAAAGAGTTCTTGGGATTCGACGTTCTGTGCGGTGAATCCTAAGTTTCTGGCTATAATCGTCGAGTCTGCCGGCGGAGGCGCCTTCATAGTACTGCCACACAATAAGGTAAGCTAATTTAATTGAACAAAGTATTTATTTCTCACAGATTGAAGTATAAAATCTTATTTCTGTGCCTCCAAATTTCCATTGAATATATTATATTAAGACGCTTAGTCATACTATACCGATTTATAAATAACTACTTCTGGATAAAAAAGAATTTTACCATGTAGACTATTCTAATTATGAACCTCATTGTGATTATTTGCAGTGATTTATTTCTGAAACTCAGTCTTGATTAGTATGTGACATATTTGACTAGTGATTATTCCTTTACTTATATCTTCATTAATATTGACTGTGGCATAATAATTTATTGTAATATAAGACCTTCTATATTGTAAATCGCCAAGTTATTCGGATTTTTGGTGAATTTTTGTTTATACATTTTATTTAAATAGCGGGAACTTGGATGTAAGTTAAACATATTGTATCTTCATGTTAACATCAATATGTTAATGTTTTTATTATACATTAATGAATTCTAGATCATATATAATAAACAGTTTTAAATTTAAACCAATACCTTTCCTGAATAACCGTAAATGGATATGATATTAGTTATACTATAAAACTTGGTTAGCAGTTTTGACGTATGCTTTCTAAATGTGTTCCGTGACAGAAAAGAAAATAAAGCCTGTAATTCTGTTATATTTAAGAATATGGGGTGTAGGTAACTGTTGGATATTTGTTAACCGTCATGGTCTTCATCATCACTTTAAACCCCGTGATTTGAACGACATTTACATATTCCATTATTCATTAAAAAAAACTTGTATACTAAAGTCTAATTCTCTTATATCTTTGCCTTCTAAAGTATCAGTAAAGAGGACGTAGAAGTATCTAAATTTTGGCTTGAGACAATTCCAAATATTGTTGACATTAAAACATATCTATAAATAGGTATATATAAATGTTAAGTTGCTATTTTTATGCTTCAAAAACTCAAAGTTCTGCACTGATTAAGTTCAAATTTTTCACACAATATATAAACCGCTTCCAACATCTTTTTAACTAATTTTGGCTTCAGTTTTGTACTTTCGTTTCTCATCAACTGACCACAATGTGCCACAGCAAAGCGTGGCAGGATACATCTCGTATCTCAGGAATTTTACACCATTTTTTTTTAGATCTGATTGTGACTCACAATCTTCTTCTAACTTCTTATTAATTACTCTATGGTAGTTATTCTAGGTCTTCAATTTTCCATAGATCCAATTTATTTTTTATTAATCCACATATCACACACCTATTTATTTCTTGTTAGTCATAATCAGATTTATGATGATGATGATTTATGATGTACTTACCTTGATAAATATAGCTGTGTGAAGGTAATTTTGAAACCGATACATATTTAAAAAAAAAAGTATTGTCTGCTTTTTTATATTCAAATTTCAAGTTCTACAATAAGTTTAATGCCTACAAATAATTCTCTTTGCACACTAATATCTCTATAAATTTGATATTATTTATATTTACCTGTCGATTTAGTTCCAATACAAGTTTTCTAGTTATTTGAGTAAAATAGCGGTTATCAAAATTTTCACAAATCTATGATAACACTTTTATCTTAATAATGCATTATCTTTCAAATCCCACAAAAAATTCATGAACAACTGACCGTTTTATGTTGATTTTATTCATGAATTTTAATGTGGTTCTGATTCTAAATTAAACTGAAATTAGCTTTTTTTTATTAGTTTGTGGTCCAGAGTCCGTGGGCATCTAGTTATGTTGAGAAATAAAAACTTTTTAATGAGTACGATGTTGAGAGCTGGTGAGATGATTATTGGTACTACATGCATAATTAGGCTATTTTAATCATCTTGAACATATTTTGCAGAAGATCTTTAACCCCAGAACGTTAAATACTTTAGTACTTTAATTTTTTTTCATACCAAAGATAATGAGTGCATTTGCACCACATTAAAATTACCTCCGTACCTAACAGCTACAGGGAATAAACGCAATCATTTCAAGAAATAGATAGAAATCCAGTGAAGGTTTTATTAGTTTAAATAATGTAAAGTTCTAAAAGTGTGTAAGTCATTTACAATTTTTAATATTTTCATCATCATCATCATCAACACCTTTACTAGTCCACTGCTGGACATAAGCCTCTTCTTAGGAAGGAGGTTTTGGCCGACTATACCACGCTGGCCAGACGGGTTGGTATAGGGTTTGTGTCAAGTTTTCCTTCTCTCTGCAGTGCTGTTGTTCTTCGTAGTTATTTCCCTTAGTCGGCTCTTACGAAACCCACGGGATGAATAGGGGTGGTGACACTCTGCATTCTTAATTCGTCACCACACGGTTAACATTTTGGTACTGTTCAATGAAGAAAGATCGTGTGCTTTAGAGCTTCCTGTCGAGTAGGCTGGAAGGGATACCACTAGTGCCACATTATTTAATAATACGAACTCTGTGTTAGTCCACCTTCCGTAATCTGTCAAATGATCTATTAGATTTCTTTTGTTTTGACGAATTGACATTCAATTACAAAAATATTCCAATATTACAAAGAATTGCCACAAAATTTTGTTCCCTCTACAGTGAGCCTTCAATTTTTTTTCTGAGTGTTCATATGATTTACTTAATTACCTATTCTGGTATTGGTTTAGAGGCAATCATCTATCTATGCCTAATTTATTAAAATTAAATCTCGATAAAAAGGGTTTAAGAAGAATGACAGTAATTAATTCAAAGGAACAAGAGATTGGTGATGTCATAACCTAAGGGAAATATTTGCTGTGTGAATCATTTTCTTATTGTAACAATTGCATAACAGCATAATAGAAGAATACCGTCATTGATATTTTACTATTCCCTTTAAAAAATAAAATAATTTCTGTCATTTTTTTTTTATCAACAGCCTCTAATAGTTCACTGCTGGAAATAGGCCTCTCCTTAGAAAAAAGGGTCTAGCGTACTATACCACGCTGGCCAGACAGGTTGACATTGGGTTTCTTTCAAGTGTTCCTTCTCTTTTCAGTGCTGTTGTCCCTTTAGAGTTTGCTCCCTTCAGGCCTGTCTCTAGCCTATTGGAGGCCCTGGGCAAATTAGCTTAATAGGGCCCCTACGAACTTAGTTGAGCACTATTTTGTTAGAATAGAAAAAAAAAGTATTGTAGTTAGTTAATACAAATGAATTTTTCAAAATAAAAATGTTTTTGGTGATAAATATTAATTTTCGATTGGTGATCTGGCAGGAATCAGGCCCCTATCGATCGAGGGGCACTGGGCACGTGCCCAGAGTGCCCAGTGGGAAAGAAGGGCCTGGCTTCCTTAGTCGGCTCTTACGACACCTACGGAGTTAACAGGGGTATCCTCCGTATTCTTAATCCGTCGCTCCACGGACACGGATTGAACACATAACATTAGATTATAAAGAAGTATCATCGAAATCGTCAGTTTATTTTCCAACATAGGACTCTTCAACCTCCCTCTAGTTATTTAAGTACTAAGTACAAAGCTCCTCCACCCCTTAAGATATTATTGTTCTTCTGGTCTTTCTTGCCTTTCTTTTGATACCACTCTGTGACATTATTGGTCCGATTCCACACGTAAAAAAAAAGTATAACAAATATAATTAATTAAAAATAATAATAATGGAAATGTTAAAATTTTAGAAACAGTTCTTAATAATTTTATTGTGTGAAGTCTTACAATGTTTTGCGCATTTTTATTACAGCTTTTCAATTAGGTGAAATCGTAAAAGCGACCATTGAAAGAGGATTATTATTATCGGATAACAGTAAATTAGTGAACTATTAGTTGTAGAACTGAATATACACGAAGGGTGTTTTCGCGAACCGTTCATCGGTGAACTAAAGTTTGTAGAACCGACTTTGGATGAAAGGTGTTTTCGCGAACCGTTGGTCGGTGAACTATAATTTGTAGAACTGACTTCGAATGAAGGGTGTTTTCAGCGAACAGTTTATCTATGAAGGAGCTCCACTTTTCTGTCTTTCATCATAGGTCCAATCCATTTCTACATTAAAGTCTCTAATAGTCTCTTATCTTTCTGTAGACTCCAATATAACCAGAAACTTGTGAAAGTCATGCTTCGGCACATACGGATCGTCTGGACTGGATGTATACCACCGCCTCACAGGAAACCGGTGTGGAGTAATTGTTTAGTCGTTTTTCACCGAGTGAAGTTGTCGGAGGACCCCTTCCTCTCCTCTATATACAAAATGAAATTATAGGGCTCTCCCATGATAAAATAATATATTCACCTACCCTCACTAAAATATTATTTGTGACAGTAAGCTTGTAAGGATAAAGAACAAGATAGAACTCGAAATAACTCAAAACGTGTCACACAAATAACTCTGTTATCTATGTTAAATGTTATTTTTCTAATTGTCGTACTAATTTGTATTATCTAAGCTATGCATGAGTCGTTCAGTTATCACATAACAAACAGTTGCATTTAAGTTTGACTTTGTATTAGGTAATCGTATTCTAAACAACGCCTTACTAGAAGAATTTATGCATTTCATCCTCACTCCGTCACTCACACAATGCCATAGACAATCATTATTTATTTTGCTGACTTTTTCTTAATTTCATTTGTGTTTGCCACAATTTTTTATTGCAAAACGTTTTGGCTAGCTTCGTTTAGCCTATGTTGGAAGCTCGTATATGGACCGTGAGGTGAGAAAACCACTTTGAATTTGCCACCTCTGCACAGCCACAACACTAAACCCTGGGTGGGTATAGTGTTCCCCGATTTGACATTTCTTTTATGACACTAGGCAGACGAGCAGACGGCTGATGCAAAGTGACTACTACCACTAGAAGTCTCAAGCGCGTTGTCGGCCTTTGAGTTGGGAGCAGTAGCGGCCTAAGCCACTGCGAGGCCCCGGGCAGGTAGATCATTGCGAGGCCCTAGGCTGGTAAACCATTGCGAGGCCCTTGTCGTTACATTAACATAAAGCATAAGCCGACTACTGTTGACTTCCAGTGCCTGTCCAAATGACAGGCAGAACTAACGCCGTCCCT